CATCATCATCATCATCATCATCATCATCACCATCACCATCACCATCACCATCATCATCATCATCATCATCATCATCAGCATCATCATCATCATCATCATCATCATCATCAGCATCATCATCATCATCATCATCATCATCATCATCATCATCATCATCATTCTTCGTCCTCTCCTTCATCTCGGTCCTATTGCGCCAAAAGCATCTCCTGGTCCCCACCCGTCCGCGCACTCGCTCCTCGACCCACGGGGAGAAGCGACGTCGCGAGAAAAAAAATGCACAGCAGCGCGAAAGATCAGGACTGGAGACCTGGGGTTCTAAGGGTCGAGCCTTCGAACCCATGTGGCTCTCGAGCGCTGACTCTCCGGGAGGGTGGCGGGAGAGCCGCCAGAGGGCCCGAAGCAGGCCTTCTGGCGAAAAGTTGAAAAGGGAACAGCCCCAAAAAACATACCATTACTACTCTGGCCTCCGACGAGGTGCGTTCTGACCAGGACTTCGAGGAAAATCCAACCGTGGCAACGTGAACCTCCAGGACGAGCAGCGGTATCAGTGCCTGTTCCTCCTCTGAGCCCTCGAGCTTTCGACTCTCCTAAACATCCGAAACTTTGGTGTTTTTCAACACGGAATCACCACCAAAAGTCCGGAGCCGCTCCCCAGGGCCAGTTTTCCATCCCGACTCGTTCTGGACGCCCCCAAGGCCCAGCGAGGGCCTCAGAGCTCAAAGCCTGCCAAAAAAATCTCCTGCCGTGACTTGATCCACGACGCGAGCATGTCAGGGCTCTGGCTCTCCGGGAGGGTGAAGATGAAGAACAGCTGCACGGCCGCGGGCACCGCGCCAAGCGCCACCTGAGGGACAACGTCACGGGGGAGCTCGCTCAAAGGGGAGAACGTCGGCGTGGAATCGGCGATACACACGTCGGCGTGGAATCGGCGATACACTGCCGATAGATCGGAGATACGCCCCCGATAGCGAATCCGCACGCTCCTTGGCGGGGCGGGCTATGTGGCCCTCTCGGCGGTGAATGGGCGAACGGGTATCGACGCATCCCCCCCTGAGCCGATCCCCCCTCTCGTTGACTGCTCTCGGCTTTCGGGTCATAGCCGCCATAACTCAGCTCTCTGGCGACCCTTCCGGAGGATCCAGGCTCCCCTGGGGCGCTCTCGATCGGCAAGGCGCAACTGCTGGAACGCACCCTGGGGCTGGAAAGCCGCCGAGGACCGTCGACAACCTCCGAAATCCTCGAACCTCGCCCCTGAATCCATCCCCCCGCCTTCAGGAGTCGGAAGTGATATGGTAAGCCGGGCCATATACAACGCCTTAAACGTCCTGTAGCACCCCATGATTTATCCATGCGATAAGACATGGGAGTAGGGGGTGCATCGTCGAAATAAGTGGGCGTATACTTGTTCCGTCACTCGGACGCTCTAGTGCCCCAAGTATTGGGCAATCATATGGAGCGACGTCGCTTGAGCCCAGCGCATCGCTCGCATCACGCCTTTAACCTACGTTCAAAACCAGAAAGAGGAAAGTCCACCGACGGGCCGCGTCAAGCTAGATGCTTTCTGACACGTAATAGCAGCGATAAGGAAAAGGCAGTCGAGCGGGCAACTTTTTTGCGTTAGCAAGAAGGCTGATTGCGTATACATACTTACTGCTGCCAACAAGGCCAGCCGCGGCAAACGTCACACTCGGCTGGCACAGCAATATACGCAGCGCACAGGGGGGCACACTCAGAGCTCCGACCGAGCAGCGGGTCCACCTGAAGAATATGATAGGTGGATATCCGAACAGAGTGTCGGACACCAAAACTCGAAATGCGATACGCGCTGAAGCCCGTGACTGGGGGGGGCAACGGCAAGCGCGTAGCCCGTGGCCGGGCGGATGCAAGCATGTGTCCATGCCTGCGCTCACGTCCTAGCCGCCAGCCCGATGTGGGCCAGGCTCACAAGACGCTGCCCGCTCTCATCTGTAGGGACTGTACAATTTTAACATCATACTTGAATAACTGAATACCTGCCATCATATGTAAGAGTAATTCACGGTCGATATACCCTATAGTGCGTCCATCGGCCGTCACGTCACGTGTCGCATCACACCATACACGCAATATACGATACCTCTCTCCACAATCTGCCGAATCCAACTGACTAGGCCCAAGAGGGCGCATATTGCGGGCTTCTCAAGGCCATTCAAGATGAAGACTAAAAGACCGACTCGGCGTCGATGGCGAGTGCCACCTTACTGCCTAGATCACCGAACTCTGAGAAGTCCCTGAGTTGCGACGGAATAACTGGTCCAGCCTTGAGCTCGCGTAGCGCACAGATGGCGGGGTAACAGTCTTCCAAGTGTTGAGGTCCCTCTAGGACTCCAGCGGGATAGCTGGATCTTGACTGTAGCCGACTTGGCTTACAGCATGCATCTACCAGATGCACAGAAGCCTTTCCGCCCGGCGTGTTTCCACGTAGTCGTCGGTTTGCACCTCGGGTGCCGTGCCCCTCAACTTCGTCGCCAGCCTCTGCGCTCAGGCAGCGATGGCCTGAGTCGCGATGTAGGTCCACTCCTCCGATCGGAGCCATCAACTGGCATGGGATGTCATTTGAGCCTTGTTGTAGTTTGCGCAGTGCGGCGTTAAGTCGACGCGCTCGCGCGTCGGTCGGTGCACCACGCAAAGAGACCACGCGCACCGCTGACCATGCTTAGGAAAATATGTCGCATGCTAGCGCACCACAAAAGCTGAATACGATACTTGACACGGTGTTCGTCGCTTCGTTTAAGCTTCGGCCCCAGCTAGTTCTGCGTTCAACAGGGCGAAAGTGCTTGATGCATTCACCTTGATCGAGCTGGGCGCGGCCGCCCTCGGTCTCAGCGCTGCGCGCGGCGCAGTTTGTGTAATTATGCTCATTGAGCATGCGCGCGCTGAACGTGCTTTCTACACACCTGACACATCTGTCAACTATGCCCTGACTCATGCCATGTTGACGTCGTCTCAGTGTTTGGCCGAGAGAAACCGCCGGCTCGCCCCGAAATCCTCGTCGCACGACGCCGGCTCGAGTCCGAAGCCTCTCGCGAAGGTCCTGAATTTGAGCGAGAACGCCCCAGGGGCACCCTTGGTGTCCGCCCCCTGCTTCCGGCGCCGTAAACGGCGACGGGGTTCGTCGCAGGGCGCAAGGCCAAGAAGCGTTCGTAGCGCCGCGGCCGAGCCTGGGGGCAGTGTGAAACGCACCGTGCGTTCCTTGTTCCTGGTGGCTTCAGCCTGCTCGCGATATGTCAGCCCCTTTCAAGGAAGCCTTGTCTGCGTCCATGGACGCCGTGCAATTGCCCTGGGTTTCTTGCGCGCGGCCGCGCTTGTGAACAGTCTTCGACTGGCCCGCCGACCTGCCCCTGGAAAACGTCTCCACGTCCACGGCCCCGACGTCCATCTCTCCATTCTCGGTCTTCACAAGCGCTATCTGATGGCGCGCTCCATCTCTCCATTCTCGGTCTTCACAAATGTCCACTTGCGCACGCACCGTGATGTCATTATTCTCGACGCGCCTCTGACTTCCTCAATCGCAAACATAGTTTGTCGAACCATGCCTTCAGATAAGTGCACGCTGCTTTGGATATTGGAGCAAGATGCGTTTGTATTTTTGAGTTTGTAGGGCGGGCGTCTTGCGCGACGAAAGTAGCCCTTGCGAACGCAGCTGGCACGTGCACGCGCGACTCGGTTGTCAGGCCGTCGATAAGTAGCACGTGCGTTGTTCCTCCAGGACACCTTCAGCCATGTCGATAGTAAGGCAGAGCTCTGCGCACTGATCGTGTTCATCCGAATCCAAGACATCGGACTCGTCGCGACGTTCAGCATTGCACTGGGATCCGCTTCGAGATCCGCGTCGAGATCCGCTTCTGATTCCTCAAAGATGGTCGGGAGACGACCGTCGTCAACGGCGCCAGGTGCTCGCAGTTGTGCATCCTGAGCCCGTCCACCCGAAGGTGGCGCGTCCGCCATGCCTTCGGATTTGGACAGCTCTTCGTGGAAGCCTGCCAAGGGCTTGATGGACTTACGGCATTGGATGATTCGTGCGCGGGTTGTCCCAGTGATGTCATGCATACATCATGATGCACCTGAAGATCCCAAATAATGGAATCCGGGAGTGGCGTCGTCATCGCAGTCTAGAAAGCACCCGAATATACACGCATGATGCCGCAGGTAATCCGTGGATACAGTTGGCCAAGCCCACGGCCACTACAAGCTCGATCCCGATAAAATCCGGATAAGAAGCTGAAGGGCCACATGTGCTTTCGGAGAGAGTCTACCCGCCGCGGTCATCCGCAGGTGCCCTTGCTCGGCGGGCACATATCCGAACGCCGTCGCAGGCCCCCGCGCATGCAGGCTCGGAACGAAACCCAAAACTGTTATCGTGGCCGTCGTGCCGGGGCCAATCTCGCGGACCACCAACGCCTCCACGTTCAATGTACGGCGTTGATCTTGAGATTGGACCAGAATCTCTCGGTCACCGACCTCAGCTGCGGCCGCACCTCGGTTCGGGTAGTTGCGCGCGACGGGGTATGATGCGTTCCAGCCGCCCCAGTTGTCGTAGGCCGATGGTAGTCCACAAGATCGCCTGGATTATCATTGGACTGCCCAGCTTGCGTTGTCTCAGTGCGTGGCGCTCGGTTGACCACAGTACTGCTGGGGCCCGCGTGATGATGCTTACCTCCCTGATCACCTGTTCCCGGCAATGGTCGAACGTATCCGCCAAATATTAGTGGCTAGCTACCGGTAGACCCACGCAACAGGCTGGTTGCCGGCCGCAAAGGGCACGACATGGCGATGCGCCGTCGAAGAGCATAGGAGCACTGCATACAAAGAGACCCTCGCGCAACAGTCTTAGGGAGCACCCCTGGAATATCTATTAATGCCAGCTCCTCCCGCACGACATGTAGGGCGCGCCGCAGGACGCCACTTCGCGCGTCAATCGCGGCGGCGCACCGGCCTCGGGCGCAGACGTGTACTTCCGCGCCCTCGGCATTGAGAACGTATTCCGCCGTCTTGTTGTTAGGGCGCCTTTCCCGTCGGAATATAGTATCTTAGCTAGGCCATGTTGCATCCATCTCTGGCGCGCATCGCCCGACGCATCGGCTATCTGCGCGCCTGCCGCCCACCAGGTGCATCGGTCTATCGCGTGGAAGACGATGAGTTGTTTCTAGAACATCAGGTCGCATGCTACTTCCTCTGCGCAGCGACCTGGAATAATAATGGATGGCATGGTCGGACTGCCAGTTTTCCCCCTGTCACGACACTCACGGCATGAGTCGCATACACATTTGACGATGTTCAAGCGCACGGTATCAAGACCTACCTTCGGCAGAAGCCTTCACACACACATATCTGCGTTTCCGAGGTATGGTGCCGCTGTGAGTGCAAGTTGCGGAGCCCCCTAACTAGCGTTGGGTCGTACTTGCGCACGCTGCGAAGACAGGTCTGCACGTCGAATAGGGCCCAGTCCCGGACCGAGGCCGCGGCGGCCCTGCGCCGCCCAGCCCGCGACCTCGTCGCCCCGCCACTCGCGGCGGACCAGCAGGGCCGCGAGCGCCACTTCCCGCGCCTCGCAGCTGAGATCTCCATGGGTCACGTCGTGGCTGCTGGCGCCTGCTGTAGAATTAGCGCCGCCAATGTTCCCACGCGCAAGGAGAGGTGCACGAGGCCGCGCGCTTGGTTGCGCGGGTTCTGCCGCTGGCGCAGCTGGCGCTGGCGCCGCCAGTGGTGCCTGGCCAAAGTTGCCAGGTGCCTGCCAGGGCCTGGCGAATCAGCGCGTGCCTGACGTTCGCAGGTGGCCCTGCCCGTTGCGTTCGCAATCTTTTC